ATAATAGGTATGGCTTTTACGCACGAAAACATGCACACAAAACGAGTGCTAAACAGTCTTAATATTTAATTCGTCAAAAAAAAAAAAATACCGTTTCCTAAAATAGGTAATCTATTATATTCGTCATACTCATGTTTTTTTTCTGTAATCGTATTAACAGATATGGACCACTTCTTGTTCGATTGTATGGCGAAACACCCATTCTTTACAGATGAAGACACACTCGAGGGTTGGTATGTTATGTTATACGACCGGGCTRCCAGGTGGTCTGGRCGTCAAGACTACAGATGTGCTGTGAGTATACAATGTTAACATGCATATTCTGTATAAAATTATGTTATCACATTAGATTAGACGATTATCTATGAAAACCAATTTAATTAATTAGGTAATTGTGGGAATAGTGAATTCTTATACATTCAATCGTTTTAAATGTATGTGAGTGGTAGGTAGTGTAACACATATTATAATTGTACTTGGATAAGCTACTAAAAATATTTTGTTTCCAGAAAGTTAAAAATGCTCACATTTAAAATTAAAAACAAATAATATGGTCATATATTATTTTTTATTACAGAATAATAGATATCACTAGCAAACAATACATCTGTCCAAATTGCAACTAGCACCTCCCTCGRCATTGTTCAACTTCAAACATTGGATACTTAATTAAATTAATAAGGTCCTCATATTATGTATAAACAAACAAATCTAATTCCTATTAGATTCTAATCGGAGTGAATGTAATTATTTTACTGTAGTTTTTTCTGTCTGTCATCAATATTTAAACAATAGAAATGATCCAATTCTCAACTTCAGCATTTTATCTAATAGAAATATTAACGTAGTTGGTACTTTGAGAAGACAAAATTGAATACCTATTCCTATTGGTTTTACTAACACAATGTCTGCGCTCAGAAACGTTTATTGTATGTAATGATTTATTATTGAATTTAAATATCCATCACAACATGCTTGACATGCATTACTGTACAGTAGATCGGTATTCATTTGTCCATCATTTTTAAACACAAAATTCATAAGAAAATAGAATATATCTCAAGGCTATAAATTAAGTATCTTCAGCGATTTTTTTTGGTTATGAGTCATAATTTATGACTTAAATAAACATCCCATACATAACATATATATTTATTAAAGTAAACAATTGTTTGTATTATGTRCTCAAACATAACGTCTAAATATCAACTAATCGCCGACAGCAATCAGAAACTTACCCATAGTTGTCTTTTAAAAAACAATTATATTTAACGATAMAAMATTTGAAATTACTATATAGTTACAGTAGATCGCTGATCGTTATTTATCGATGATTTTGAATTTGTATGACACATCGTCTAACTATAATCTTATTACAGTGAAATATGCAAACCAAACTCAAAATAACGTTGATRGTGGGGACTAGGGTTGGGTCTCTGGTGTACTTATGTTATTCTATAATTTAAATGTACGTTACAGTTGATTGATCAATTTCTTTCTCTTTCTGTTTACCTTATTGCAGTTATATGAAACAGTCAAAGAAGACCCGCTAATGATAAACATGGTGATTAGTGCGAACCAATCGTGCCATGGTCTTTTAAAGAGAATTGAACAACCTGAGCATACCGTTCCTAAGGGACTTCGTCATTTTTCGGATGGGTCGGTAGCTCTTCAGTTCAGTAAAGACTTGCCACAAAAGGATAGGGTAAAGGGTAATGAACATGATCATACCGAGAACGTTTCAAAACATAGACAAAAAAGATGCTGGGGATCAAAAACAACAACATCAACTGAACGTTACAGAGATGTACAGTTTGAAAACCCAAAAACAGGTGATCCAACAGAACCATCGCACACACCAAATAAATATTTCGGGACAACACAAAGTCCCGCTGCTCCTAATATAAAAAAGAGGTTTATAAATTAAGATTTAAATCCAACATTTGAAACACTAATTTTATTTTTCACCGTTATTTAATAGCAATWTGTATATAATTTTAACWTACACTTCCAAATTGTATATGGTAGTTGATTTTTCTATAGCATATTTAAATATAGAAAAAATATTCTAAAATGTCTCTGYAGTGATATGTCACTCGATTGTRTAACAMGCCATATAATAAGTATAGTCATGCAATATTATCCAATAATTAAGGGAGGCATTCATTTAAACAAAAATTGTTTATGAGTATATGATTACACTGAAATCAAAATGTCTTAAATTAATATTTATAATGWTGTATAAGTTACATATTGTAGTACAATATATTTAATTTTTCAACTGAAACTAATAAAATTTAGCAGTATCCAKTTTATGTCTAATRAATTAAATGAATTACAATATTATGCAGTAAATAATGAGCAATTTTTAAAAAACTAATAAAATATTTAACGTTTATCATTAAAATGTAGATACTTAAAA